TATGTGTGTGTGTAAAATTTCATTTTTTGTAACTTCTCTTTTTAGAACATAATATAATATTATTAAATCAATTATCAGACAAAATTACTTTTCTCTTGAAAACTTCCTATAAAAACCTTCAAATCTTTCGTTCACTTCAATTCACATAGTACTCATATTTTTTTATCTTAAAATTTTTACTTTAAAAAGATATTATCGTGAAAATAAGAAAAAAAATTAAAAATACGTTCAGAAATAAAATTCAGATCTTACAAACTTTGAATAATTCTGTCGTAATTATATTGAAAAATAAAGCGAAGCTCAAAACAGAATTTTTTAAGATTATTATACAAACCATCAAATAAATTAATCTCGCGAATTGATAAGCAATTTCGTACAACTACGATTGATATCTTTAACTCCAACTATATATCATCTATTTTTCTTCTTCAGTAAGTTCTTATCTGTAATTCGTTTCAAAAGAAAAATACTTTTAGAAAACTTTTGTAATATCTTTTCCTATTAAAACTTGTCGGACTATTTCTTTAAAAATTGCGATTATTAATCACTTTTCTTGAAAAATTAAATTTCTTAGTTATAAAATGCCGTTCGATCAGCAGGCTGTTTCTCGCACGTTATAGTAATGCTATCGAGTAAAATTGAATTGCTATTCATATAAATTTGTCTATTACATTATAATATTTATTATTATTTCTAATTTGGATGAATCAATAAATAATCTTAATATGCATCTTGATATGCTTATCTTGATTTTTGGGACAAAATTTAATTTATTTATTGAGAGTCATTTATTGTTTATACATTACTTCTAAATCTAATTAAACTTTGTAATGTGAGTGGATTTCCTAAACTACTTTCGCGATTATTGTCTACATCGGGCCTCTCTCAGAGCCTCTTAGCTACCAAGACACACTGTCGATGTTCCTGGCTATTTATTCTTTCGCTATATTTCTTTCCGTTGTACTCATACTCATCATACGAAACTTTCAAAAGCTGATCAAAGTGCAATTTCATTGCAATTAGATAGGAATAATTGGACGTCATGATAGCAGAGACCAAGGTCGGCACTGCGTTGGCATTCGTTACTTTGTTGCTGCCATGTATCGTGATAGGTATCCTCACGTTTTTGCTACTTCTCAGTTCTTTACCGAGTTCCAACGAAGAAGCGACCAGCATTTCACCTATTCGTCGTTTCCCGTAATTGGGCAGAGTTGCCAGAAACATGATCTCGAGAATACAATTGACATAATAGTGCTTGAAAAGATTTGTTCGCGAATCCACGTCTATCATGAAGTCCACTAAAGCCTTTGATGATTTGTATCGGCAATTTTCACTGAAGCATTCGAAGAAACTTTTCTCTGAACTATTGGAGGGCATCTGATAAATTGAAAGTAATCCGTGAAAAAATTTAAAATTTGACAACTTATTAGAGATCAATACAAGGTGTTGTACTGGAAAATTGTTCACTCACTTGGATTTTATTGAACGCGACTCCAACAACTTCGCTAGTGGTGACGTCGACAGCCACCACACTCACGCCGTCCTTAGCCGCGTACAAACAGAGCTCCTCGAGTTCCTTGGATGCTCCCGGTTCGGAATTCAGTTCCACAGCTATGCATATTTTCTCGTAGAGGAAGAAGCTCTTTCTTATCACATTGAGAGCACCCTCCAAGGTATCGTCCGACAAGGACTCGAATTCTATCTGACCGTTCTCCATCGAACCCCAAGGTCGATAATAGGATATATTTTTGCACGTGTTGCTGGAAAACAAGCATGATTTTGTTACGATTATTTCGAAGAACTAAGTCCAAAATGAAATAATACGAACAAGAAGAACTTCAATTACTTTAAACAAGGAGAGCTATGGAAGTTGGCGCAGTATAAAAAGTGTGCATCAGATTATAAAGTTTTAATAAGTCACATTTATTCATAATCATTAAATCAATTATTTAAAATTTTACAACCTCTCTTTGTTTTAATCTGTTTTAAACGAAAAAAAATTTAAAACTTATAAACTATCAAGTACATTTATGATCTCGCGAAGTAATGTACAATCACGCTATCATAACTTAACTTATACTTCGAATTAGACATTAAAAAAGGTAAAAGACATCTAAAAGATAAAAAAAGATCAAAATATATATTCTATTATAAAGATTGCACTTAATATTCTAATAAATTAATGCAACGGAACAAAAGTGTAATAAAAGACTATGTCATGCTAATTATAAAAATATAAATAAGTTAAATAATAGTACGTCAATAGTTAAAACGAAGCTAACAAATTCATCGGTGAGAATCGAGAATTTTCGAGGCGAGAATCCTGTTAAATCCAAAGGAAATAATATACAACTCGTGTAATAAGATATTGTAAAAAAAGCTAGTCAATCTATTAAAAAACAATCAGAAGAAATATTTTAATAAAGCCAAATAAAATAGAAAAGTAAGAAAATTTCTTATTTCTTAATACGGAGGAACGAGTATGGATATTTAATAAGTACATGAAGAGATATTTATTAAAGATATTTATAATAACAGACATAATAATAGGTAGAAATATAATAGTAGAACAATTACTTTCTCCGAGCCATAAAAGTTGAATTGTATCTTACTTTTTAATTTATTTATCAATTATTGATCAGAATTTACAGTCAAAAAATTGATTGTGCCTTTGAACCCCAACATTACAAACGGAGAGTTAATCACACTTTTTTGGAAAAATTAAGTTTTTCTATTATGAAATGCCACCATTCATTCAACAAACTGTTTATTTCACGCATCATTTATTGTTGAGTAAAAAAAATCTCGATAACGTGTATATACATAAAATAAAGTAAAATAAAATTATTTGTTTTTATTTGAAACAATAGTTTTCGAGATATAAGAGTTCAAACGTGGTCAATTACAGATTATATTTAGACACACATTTATCCGCTGAAGTGTGCACTAAACTACGCATTACATATGACTGTCTAAATATAATCTGTAATTGGCTATATTTAAACTCTTATATCTCTTATGTTAATAACTCTTATATCTCTTATATCAAAAACTATTGTTTGAAGTAAAAATATATATATAACTTCTTTACTTAATTTTTCAAAAACTTTCTTGCTATGATATTTGGATTTCGGGATATATATTCTAAACTGTTTATATAAATAAATATATATTTTATATTATATTTATTATTATATTTTGAAAACAGTATATATAATGAAAAGTATCGTAACTTCTCTCAGGAGTACTATCTTTATTCTCGAAAAATACGATTCTATTATGACGTGAGCAATATCGTATATTTATCAGAAAAAGTTAAATAGTTCCTGAATAGATACAATGATAATTTATCTTATACTCAGGGAATGGAAAGTTTTTAAAAATAACAAACTACAATTATTTGTTATCAAGTAAAAAAAGTAACAAATTACCATTGCTAGTTACCGATTTTTAAAAGTAACTCGTTACAGTTACTTTTACTTGAGAAAGTAACTTTTCGTTACTTTCCGTTATTTTTTTAAAATCGACGACCAACAATCATAGCGGACTTAATATGTATTGCACGTAACATTGTTTAATATAAAATTATAACATTGATGTTATGTTACTGTTAGTTCGTATTTACTGCACGACGATTGTAATTGGAAAATTATAAGTATATATTCTTATCGGTGCTCTTAAACTAATTATTAAATTTATTTAAATTGAAGTAAATTTTGATTTTTTAGCACACTAATCGTCAACGTGACTAAATCGTAAAGAAACGTTACCTCATTTTGACAAGGAGATCTTAACACAATGCCTTCTTCTCTGTTTGTGATGAACTGAAGTATTACGTACAAACGTTCTCGCACGCATGAAGCATACTTAATGATAGATAATGACAAATGACTCGGCTTCAGAGCTGCACTTAGTTTCAAGTGTGACACTTGGAGTGTAAATATGATACGAAACAAATTGGAATATTTAACAAATGCATAAGAAAATATTTATTGGAGATATTTATCCTTGGATAACAACAAACATTATAATAAACAGCAAGAAATGTAATGCACTGCAGAATAACTAATTTATTTCTTCGATTATTAGTGTCTGGCACATGCACTGAAAAAAAATTCCTAAATTTAAATAATATTTTCATAAATGATACCAAATATAAACGTTTTTTTTTTTATTGTAAATAAATACATATTTATTCAAAAAAAGAAAGTAATATTAAATTAAATAATATATGTTTAATAAATATTTATTTACAATAAGGAAATGTTTACTTATTGTTAATACTATTGAAGAAAATATTACTCAGATTTAGAAAAATTTTTCCTCAGTGTATAAACGGGTTTTCCACGTACTTGCTAATAAGCACGATCCTGATAATATTATATAATAGACGTATATATACTTCGATGGCATACAGTGAACACATTCCAGCGTAATGCAATAAATATATGTATTCGCTCTTTGAAAGGCTACATTTTCCTTCACCGCATTCGCTACCGTTGTCTTTTAATCCGCATATGTTTATGCAATTGCCTTTGCTATCGCGCCTTCGATTATTTCATTCCGTAGTCATTGACCTTTGTTTGATAAATATACATGTAATCTCATACTCACGAGTTCTATCCTTGAATATAATTAAAGTCTAACAATCAATCAAAATTACAACGTTGCAGCAATGTTACTAAAGTGTCCTATTAAGTCTGTTGCTTACTGGGTACATAATAATTATTATATATCCAGTAAATAAGAAACATATTAGAAAATTCTAGAATGTGTATTTTAATCGTGGAAAAATTAATGACAGCGTCACTAGTTTTTTCACTATTAAATTACACTTATATAATGGGAGCATTCAGAAACCGATAACCGCTCATTGAGCTCGATCTTTCATCTGATTGACATATTAGATCCTAAAATATAGACCAATCAGATGAAAAAGCTCACTGAGCGCTCAATGAGCAGTTGTGTGAATGCACCTAAATTACATGTAATTTATAATACTTAAATTGTATTTCTAGCAGCGTTACCTCGTAAAAATAACTCGTTACTATTCTTTTTCTTAAAAAATAACTCGTTACCGTTACTGTCACTCAAAATGTAACGAGTCACTACTTTTTCATTACTTTTTTCTCTTGATACTAATATTAAAATATTATAGCGTTTTTCATTGCCAGAACTTGCGCATTCAGTGCACACTACTCTAATCTGAATGTAAAAATTAGAAAACGCTAATTATATGCAGATTTTTGGATGGCGTCATGAAGGTCATGTCAAATCGATTTGAATTTTTTTAATGGAAGGTCATAATCTTTACAATGCCACCCAAGGTCAATCACATATACCCACGTAATGCATTACTTGATGCCCAACAACTTTTATCTCTGAAACATTTTTCAAAATAACCATTTCCCTCATTTTTAAATGGAATATAAAATGGTTGAAACATCCGGTTTATATGTACATATTATAGTATACATATACGCTCTAGTTACGACAAAAACTTTTACGTAGCTAATAATACAGTAACGATAAAAGTAAATAAAATTGTTACCATTATTCCAAAAATGTAATTGTCATAGACTGATGAAGGTGCCAACGATTAAATTCTATACTATTAATGAATCGTGTGTAATTTTCTTTATTTTGAACGTTTCGGCTCTCTTTGAAATCCTCTTCAATAATACATATTTCAAATCCTAATTTATTGAACTTTTCATCAAATGTGAGTCACTAACAGGTTCTCAACTGAAGTGGATTCTGATTTGACATATATAAAATTAAAATTGAGTCAATAAGAAAAACCATATCCTAACAACTCACTTCAAACGAGAAATTCATGAAGTTTTGGAAGTTTATATTAACTAATAAATTATTGAAACATTTATCTTAGTTTTATATATATTAACCTCTATTTATAAACCTTTCTCTCCGGGTAGTCAAAAGCGTTTAACGAACAATTTGTTTACTTGAAAAAGGACACACCGAAAAACAAAACAATTAAGTCATATCTAACATTGCAATATTCCTGATATAACCGTAAAATCATAAATTAGGTGTATACAAGACGTAAAAAATACATTAAATTCTTTACAAAATGATTTAATTGGTCAATTCATTTAGCATCGTCGTATAGGCGTGATGTAAAATCCTTCAATGTCAAACCGTAAATTCAAATCATTTTTCTGCATGAGAATGTGCGCTTTTTCAGAGATTAGTCGTTTATTTAAAGATCTCTCAGAATTTGAACATTCTCCCAATCAAAATCATGATTCAATTCAACTCTATGATTCATAATAACAGATTGTGAATTGATGTGATTACGGTGTTCAGTAATTCAGAGTTCAATTTTCTACCAGTTTCTCCCACATAGGACGCGTTACAATTTTTGCATGTTATTTTGTATATTACATTTTTATTCTGATTTTTTTAGATAGACTTTAATGAATCTACTGAGTTTGTTATTACTGTAAAATGCTGGTTTTAAGTTTTCTTTTTTACAAATTGTTAGAAATTTATCTGCCGTGGTATTTGTGTAAGGAATTAAAAACCAAGAAGTTATTTCTATATTTTCCGACTTGACGTTGTTAGACATGGAATCTTGTTCAACAGAAACTAGAAGATAAACATTTTTTTTTATCATGAACGTTACACTAAAAATAAATGTGACGTCATCCATTCGTTACTGAAAAAAATAACTTATAACGCTAACGACGTTACAAGTAACGCGTTACTTGCTAATCTTTCTAATATATAATAATAATTGTTATTATTAACATAATTATAAATACGACAGGAAAATTTCTATTCTAGCATATACAAGCAACGTTACACCGTTGCTGCAATATTGCTGAAATTTTCCAATTTTTTTGCTTGCTGGACTTTTCCAAGTTTCTTGCTTGCTGGGAGTGTTCTGCGTTTCGCATTCGCATGTAATATTCTAGCATGCTTGTAATGTAAATGTAACATGGAAGAAATTTTGCTTTCGTATATATAATATATTGATATGTTATAATAATAATTATTCAAGGATGAATCTGATTGGCAAATTTGATCGTACTTCGCGAAAACATCATATGACATACCGGAAATATATGCAATTTTAATCCATTGAGAGTCAGCACATGAGCGGAAAATATTTATTTTGAAAATTGTGCCTTAACAGAAGCATTTATTTTGGTAGTCGTACACATAAACCAAAAATTCTTATTTAAAGTTTCGCAAATGAAACAACGAAATGTATTTTATTTCTAATTCTTTATTTTAGATTTAACTTTAACAGTGAATTTGAATTCGACCACTCTATTAGTGATATTGATTTCTCAATTACTTGATAAATTATCATTTTCTTAGGTCATAGGTCTTGGAAAGATAAAGCACATCGAATTCTTTTTTATTTATATTTGCCTCATACTTTTCCACCAATGATTGCAATTAGCCAAACATTTTAAGTGCTTTATTTAGATAAAATAAATATTTCTAATATTAATCCGATAAAAAAATTTTTATGTATTAATATATATAAATATGTATAAACACATACGAGTATATATAAATATTTATAAACATATAATTATGTATGAGATATGTCTATTGTAAACGATGTTAAGAGTTCAACGCTCGACGAATAATGCGATGTTAAAACAGATAAAGTTTTTCACATTTGAAAAACAAGATATACAAATAATTTGTGATAGCCTTTAAAGATTGGTATTGATAAAATTATGTCAATATAGCTCTGCAATTGATTATTATGACGTTTCTAATATATCATAAACTAATCTAATAATAATAATAGAGCCGTATTAGCATCTTAAAACATTTATACTTAAAATTTATTTATTTATTTTATTTATATTTATATTCGATCTTCAATTTTTGATTCTGTGTTTAAAGAATTTAATAGAATTAGATAGGAAAAAACTCTATCTGATTAATACTCGTATTTATAGTCAGGCCTATATTTAAGGCTTCCTTAAATTTATCTTAGATACTCTACGAATTATTTCATTGGCTGCTGAGCATCTAAAGATAAATTTAAGGAAGCCTTGAGTACAAGTGTGACTATGAATACGGGCATTATCGTGTTTTTGATTCGTAAATTTTAAATTACTTACCTGAAATATTTGATAAATTTTAATATTTCTGTATCATTTTTATATAATTCCTAATTAATTTTCATCTGTTCGGCCCGCATCCGCATTCCTTACTTTAAGATCATTTTAAGTATAATATAAATGTTTTAAGATGCTAATACGGCTCTATGATTAGTTTGACATCTTAGAAACGTCATAATAATTAATTACAGAATTATATTAACATAATTTTATCAATACCAATCTTTAAGGGCTATTATACACAAAATGACATAGCATAAGACTGCTGGACCAATGAACATCTTATGCAAATTAATACAACACCTTTTTGTCGGATGATCATTGGTCGTATGCTGTGTTTATGCAGCTTATGCTATTTTGTGTATGGCAGCCCTAAATTTGACAAAAGTGATGTCATGTGCAGTTAGCAATTAAAACATTTTTTTTAATGGGTTTCGAAATGCAGCCTACTTATGAATTCATAAATATATAAGAATCAATCGTGAGCAGGCTATACTTTGAAATCCGTCGTAAAGAAAGTGTTGCAATTTTTTAGTTGCTGATTGTACTATAAAATTTATTGTAAAAAATCACTTGTTAATCGGGTTGTGTTTCAAAATCGAAAATTTAATCGACGTATGGTTTGTAGAACTAAATACGTAAATTTGTATATGTAAATTTATTCTAAAATATTATTATGTATACATATATATATATATATATGTATACATACAAAGCTTTCACTTCTGGGCGGAAAAGCAGAAAGCGAAAAAGC